TCTTCCTCGGCCTTCGGCCTCGGAAGATCTATGCTCTGCCTTTGACTATTGCTCTGCCTTTTAGATGTAATGGAAGCTCGGGCCTTCGGCCCTCGCCTACTCCTCGGCCTTCGGCCTCGGAGGATCTATGCTCTGCCTTTGACTATTGCTCTGCCTTTTAGATGTAATGAAAGCTCGGGCCTTCGGCCCTCGCCTACGGTGGGCCTTCGGCCCGCCAACTCCTCGGCCTTCGGCCTCGGAGGATCTATGCTCTGACTTTACCATTGTTCTGCCTTTTAGATGTAATGAAAGCTCGGGCCTTCGGCCCTCGCTGCAAAACTCCTCGGCCTTCGGCCTTGGAGGATCTATGCTCTGCCTTTGACTATTGCTCTGCCTTTTAAATGTAATGAAAGCTCGGGCCTTCGGCCCTCGCCTACTCCTCGGCCTTCGGCCTCAGAGGATCTATGCTCTGCCTTTGACTATTGCTCTGCCTTTTAGATGTAATGAAAGCTCGGGCCTTCGGCCCTCGCCTACGGTGGGCCTTCGGCCCGCCAACTCCTCGGCCTTCGGCCTCGGAGGATCTATGCTCTGACTTTACCATTGTTCTGCCTTTTAGATGTAATGAAAGCTCGGGCCTTCGGCCCTCGCTGCAAAACTCCTCGGCCTTCGGCCTTGGAGGATCTATGCTCTGCCTTTGACTATTGCTCTGCCTTTTAGATGTAATGAAAGCTCGGGCCTTCGGCCCTCGCCTACTCCTCGGCCTTCGGCCTCAGAGGATCTATGCTCTGCCTTTGACTATTGCTCTGCCTTTTAGATGTAATGAAAGCTCGGGCCTTCGGCCCTCGCCTACTCCTCGGCCTTCAATTTGAGTCACTTCGGGCCTTCGGCCCTCTCTTCCCCTCGATTGGACTCTTCCTTCCACTTAGAGTCTTCGGGCCTTCGGCCCTCGTCTTCCCTTCGATGGGACTCATCCTTCCACTTAGAGACACTTCTGGCCTTCGGCCCTCGTCTTCCCTTCGATTGGACTCATCCTTCCACTTAGTGTTACTTCGGGCCTTCGGCCCTCGTCTTCCCTTCATTGGGACTCATCCTTCAACTTAGAGGGCCTTCGGCCCTCGTCTTCCCTCCGATTGGACTCACCCTTCCACTTAGAGTCACTTCGGGCCTTCGGCCCTCGTCTACCCCTCGATTGGACTCATCCTTTCAATTAGATTCACTTCGGGCCTTCGGCCCTCGTCTTCCCCTCGATTGGACTCTTCCTTCCACTTAGAGTCACTTCGGGCCTTCGGCCCTCGTCTTCCCTCCGATTGGACTCACCCTTCCACTTAGAGTCACTTCGGGCCTTCGGCCCTCGTCTACCCCTCGATTGGACTCATCCTTTCAATTAGATTCACTTCGGGCCTTCGGCCCTCGTCTTCCCTTCGATTGGACTCTTCCTTCCCAATTGCTCTGCCTTTTAGATGTAATGAAAGCTCGGGCCTTCGGCCCTCGCCAACCGGCGGGCCTTCGGCCCGCCGGTTCCTCGGCCTTCGGCCTCGGAGGATCTATGCTCTACCTTTGACAATTGCTCTGCCTTTTAGATGTAATGAAAGCTCGGGCCTTCGGCCCTCGCCAACCGGCGGGCCAACGGCCCGCCGGTTCCTCGGCCTTCGGCCTCGGAGGATCTATGCTCTACCTTTGACAATTGCTCTGCCTTTTAGATGTAATTAAAGCCTTCGGCCCTCGTCTTCCCCTCGATTGGACTCTTCCTTCCACTTAGAGTCACTTCGGGCCTTCGGCCCTCGTCTTCCCTTCGATTGGACTCATCCTTCCACTTAGAGTCACTTCGGGCCTTCGGCCCTCGTCTTCCCCCCCCATCGGGACTCATCCTTCCACTTAGAGTCACTTCGGGCCTTCGGCCCTCGTCTTCCCTTCGATTGGACTCATCCTTCCACTTAGAGTCACTTCGGGCCTTCGGCCCTCGTCTTCCCCCCCCCCCCCATTGGGACTCATCCTTCCACTTAGAGTCACTTCGGGCCTTCGGCCCTCGTCTTCCCTTCGAGTGGACTCCTCCTTCCACTTAGAATCACTTCGGGCCTTCGGCCCTCGTCTTCCCTTCAATTAGAAGGATGATTGGACTAATCCTTTCAAAAAGAAGGATGATTGGACTCATCCTTTCAAATATAAGGATGATTGGACTCATCCTTTCAAATAGAAGGATGATTGGACTCATCCTTTCAATTAGAAGGATGATTGGACTCATCCTTTCAATTAGAAGAATGAGTCCAATCCAAAACAAAATTTCGAAGCAGAAACTGCTTCACGAAGCATCTCTGCTTCGGATCCATAACAGGATCCAGCTTATCTCTCCACTAAATTTTCCCACATATACAAAATTCACCTTTAAACTCTTCTACGTTTTGCCCCGCATGGTCAGAGACGGAGAAAAATTTCGCCTCTCTGCCATCAACTTCACCTGTCAATCATTTTTCCTCTCTCCCTACCATAATTTTCCGAGTACGGTAATCACCCCCACAAATTTTCGAACCTCTGTACTTTCTTCAAAATGTACCGAAAAAATTCGAAAAAAATATTTTTATATCCTGCTCGATGAGAGCTTTCGAATGATATCTCATTTGCCATATTTATATCCATTTTGAAAAAAATATTTTTTGGGCCTGAAATTTCAGCCAGAAAAAATCCCTGAAATTTTCAAAAAATCATATCTCGGCCGAAGTATACCTTTTTTGAAAATTTTAAAATCCCAAAATATGTAGAAAAATCTGATTAATTTAGGAAAAATACATTCGATCCGAACAGCAGGCAAAAATCCCGAAAAAATTTAGAAAAACCGAAAATTTTTGGGTTTTTCGAAATTCGACCCCTACACCTCCAATTTCGAATTTTTCCGAAATTTTTTCGGCTCTAAAAATTTCTAATTTTTAGTACTATTTTATAAAGGAAAACCCATCCAATTCTCTTAATCCCAAAAAAAGTTATGATCACCTAAAAAATCCCAAAAATCCCCCAAAAGGGGTACCCCTTCGGAAATAGGGGGTGGGACAAAATTTTGGAATTTTGACCCATAAAACGTCCCATATGGTACTTTGACATGCGCTGAGTCCAAATCCGGTGTCAGAAAAATTTTAAAAAATTCCCCCGGGACGTTAGAGTCAAAAAAAAGTTTCGCGACATTTGCGAACATTGGCCATAACTTTTTGAGACTCAACCGGACCCCCGACATATTATACCTTTTTCGGACCGTCAGGTGACGCTCTATAACATAGGATATCGAAAACGGGTTTCAATTCACTTTTGAGAATTGGAGCCACCCTTCCCAATTTTACATGGGGGCACTTTGAAACTTTGGGCTACTGTAACTTGGTCAAAAGTATTCCGAAAAATTTAAACTAAATTTTTCCAGACTCAGCTCGTCGAGAGCTTTCATTTGACATATCACACGTGATTTGTCGATAAGTTTCGTAAATTTCGAAATTTGCGAAACTGGGATTTTGGGATTTTTGCGCAGGCATATCTACCCTTCAAGTTGGGATTTAGACTTCGGGTTTTTTCCTACATATATCAGCTTATTCCAACTTGCGTGCCTCCCGTTGGAAGTTTTTTGATATCTCCCCCCAGTCCCGAGATACCCCCGGTACCTATTCAATATAGGTACCAGGGGGTAATTATTTCTTAACTTTCGTATTTTTCCCAAATGCCCCATCAAATAGAACCCTTAAATGCAAAAGTTTCAGACCCCTAACTCAATTCGTTAAAGAGTTAGAATTTTTCAGCCTGGGGGCATAACCATTTGGGAAGGCATAAGTACCCTTCAGGTCCGAATTTCGACTTCGAGTTTTTTGCATTCGAACTCTACTAATAGCCGTACATCATCCTCCCAGCAGACGTTTTTCGCTATAACCCCCCGTTAAAAAGATAGCCCCGGCGCTTAAGCGATTTAGGTACCAGGGGGCAATTATTTCGACTTCTCGATAATTTTCCTGGATGCCCCGGACCAAACTACCCCCCGAATGTCAAACTCCCGAAACCGTGCCGGCCTTCGGCCGGCCGTTATTTTTTTTCTTAGAAAAAACACTCCCTGAATTATAGGTATATAGTAAGCTATGGGTTACGTATGCGATGGCGGTAACTTACGTATGCAATTCCTATTAGGATACTTTAGGTTTAATAGCATTCTGCCCGTTGGAAAGCCTAACGGCTTTGGGGCGCGCTTCGCGCGCTGCTAGAATTTTTGAATGCCTGGAAAGAAAGATTACGCTTTGCCTTTCATTGCTTCGGCCTTCGGCCCTCGCCCTCCATCGCTTCGGCCTTCCCCGGTCTCGTCTTCTACTTAGGCACTCGTCTTCCCCTCGACCGGCGGGCCTTCGGCCTCGGAGGATCTATGCTCTACCTTTACAATTGCTCTGCCTTTTAGATGGAATGAAAGCTCGGGCCTTCGGCCCTCGCCAACCGGCGGGCCTTCGGCCCGCCGGTTCCTTGGCCTTCGGCCTCGGAGAATCTATGCTCTACCTTTGACAATTGCTCTGCCTTTTAGATGTAATGAAAGCTCGGGCCTTCGGCCATCGCCAACCGGCGGGCCTTCGGCCCGCCGGTTCCTCGGCCTTCGGCCTCGGAGGATCTATGCTTTGCCTTTGACAATTGCTCTGACTTTTAGATGTAATGAAAGCTCGGGCCTTCGGCCCTCGCCAACCGGCGGGCCTTCGGCCCGCCGGTTCCTCGGCCTTCGGCCTCGGAGGATTTATGCTCTGCCTTTGACTATTGCTCTGCCTTTTAGATGTAATGAAAGCTCGGGCCTTCGGCCCTCGCCTACTCCTCGGCCTTCGGCCTCGGAGGATCTATGCTCTGCTTTTGACTATTGCTCTGCCTTTTAGATGTAATGAAAGCTCGGCTATGGGTTACGTATGCGATGGCGGTAACTTACGTATGCAATGGCAGTTTAATTTTGCTTTGGGTTTGAATTTGGCTCTGCCCGTTGGAAAGCCTATCGGCTTTGGGGCGCGCTTCGCGCGCTGCTAGAATGTTTGGATGCTTGGAATATATTTGATTACCTCTGCCTTTTCATTGCTTCGGGCCTTCGGCCCTCGCCAACTCGTCTTCACCCATTGGGACTCATCCTTCCACTTAGAGTCACTTCGGGCCTTCGGCCCTCGTCTTCCCCCCGTTGGGACTCTTCCTTCCATCTAGACTCTTCCTTCCATCTTCCTCGGCCTTCGGCCTCGGAAGATCTATGCTCTGCCTTTGACTATTGCTCTGCCTTTTAGATGTAATGGAAGCTCGGGCCTTCGGCCCTCGCCTACTCCTCGGCCTTCGGCCTCGGAGGATCTATGCTCTGCCTTTGACTATTGCTCTGCCTTTTAGATGTAATGAAAGCTCGGGCCTTCGGCCCTCGCCTACGGTGGGCCTTCGGCCCGCCAACTCCTCGGCCTTCGGCCTCGGAGGATCTATGCTCTGACTTTACCATTGTTCTGCCTTTTAGATGTAATGAAAGCTCGGGCCTTCGGCCCTCGCTGCAAAACTCCTCGGCCTTCGGCCTTGGAGGATCTATGCTCTGCCTTTGACTATTGCTCTGCCTTTTAAATGTAATGAAAGCTCGGGCCTTCGGCCCTCGCCTACTCCTCGGCCTTCGGCCTCAGAGGATCTATGCTCTGCCTTTGACTATTGCTCTGCCTTTTAGATGTAATGAAAGCTCGGGCCTTCGGCCCTCGCCTACGGTGGGCCTTCGGCCCGCCAACTCCTCGGCCTTCGGCCTCGGAGGATCTATGCTCTGACTTTACCATTGTTCTGCCTTTTAGATGTAATGAAAGCTCGGGCCTTCGGCCCTCGCTGCAAAACTCCTCGGCCTTCGGCCTTGGAGGATCTATGCTCTGCCTTTGACTATTGCTCTGCCTTTTAGATGTAATGAAAGCTCGGGCCTTCGGCCCTCGCCTACTCCTCGGCCTTCGGCCTCAGAGGATCTATGCTCTGCCTTTGACTATTGCTCTGCCTTTTAGATGTAATGAAAGCTCGGGCCTTCGGCCCTCGCCTACTCCTCGGCCTTCAATTTGAGTCACTTCGGGCCTTCGGCCCTCTCTTCCCCTCGATTGGACTCTTCCTTCCACTTAGAGTCTTCGGGCCTTCGGCCCTCGTCTTCCCTTCGATGGGACTCATCCTTCCACTTAGAGACACTTCTGGCCTTCGGCCCTCGTCTTCCCTTCGATTGGACTCATCCTTCCACTTAGTGTTACTTCGGGCCTTCGGCCCTCGTCTTCCCTTCATTGGGACTCATCCTTCAACTTAGAGGGCCTTCGGCCCTCGTCTTCCCTCCGATTGGACTCACCCTTCCACTTAGAGTCACTTCGGGCCTTCGGCCCTCGTCTACCCCTCGATTGGACTCATCCTTTCAATTAGATTCACTTCGGGCCTTCGGCCCTCGTCTTCCCCTCGATTGGACTCTTCCTTCCACTTAGAGTCACTTCGGGCCTTCGGCCCTCGTCTTCCCTCCGATTGGACTCACCCTTCCACTTAGAGTCACTTCGGGCCTTCGGCCCTCGTCTACCCCTCGATTGGACTCATCCTTTCAATTAGATTCACTTCGGGCCTTCGGCCCTCGTCTTCCCTTCGATTGGACTCTTCCTTCCCAATTGCTCTGCCTTTTAGATGTAATGAAAGCTCGGGCCTTCGGCCCTCGCCAACCGGCGGGCCTTCGGCCCGCCGGTTCCTCGGCCTTCGGCCTCGGAGGATCTATGCTCTACCTTTGACAATTGCTCTGCCTTTTAGATGTAATGAAAGCTCGGGCCTTCGGCCCTCGCCAACCGGCGGGCCAACGGCCCGCCGGTTCCTCGGCCTTCGGCCTCGGAGGATCTATGCTCTACCTTTGACAATTGCTCTGCCTTTTAGATGTAATTAAAGCCTTCGGCCCTCGTCTTCCCCTCGATTGGACTCTTCCTTCCACTTAGAGTCACTTCGGGCCTTCGGCCCTCGTCTTCCCTTCGATTGGACTCATCCTTCCACTTAGAGTCACTTCGGGCCTTCGGCCCTCGTCTTCCCCCCCCATCGGGACTCATCCTTCCACTTAGAGTCACTTCGGGCCTTCGGCCCTCGTCTTCCCTTCGATTGGACTCATCCTTCCACTTAGAGTCACTTCGGGCCTTCGGCCCTCGTCTTCCCCCCCCCCCCCATTGGGACTCATCCTTCCACTTAGAGTCACTTCGGGCCTTCGGCCCTCGTCTTCCCTTCGAGTGGACTCCTCCTTCCACTTAGAATCACTTCGGGCCTTCGGCCCTCGTCTTCCCTTCAATTAGAAGGATGATTGGACTAATCCTTTCAAAAAGAAGGATGATTGGACTCATCCTTTCAAATATAAGGATGATTGGACTCATCCTTTCAAATAGAAGGATGATTGGACTCATCCTTTCAATTAGAAGGATGATTGGACTCATCCTTTCAATTAGAAGAATGAGTCCAATCCAAAACAAAATTTCGAAGCAGAAACTGCTTCACGAAGCATCTCTGCTTCGGATCCATAACAGGATCCAGCTTATCTCTCCACTAAATTTTCCCACATATACAAAATTCACCTTTAAACTCTTCTACGTTTTGCCCCGCATGGTCAGAGACGGAGAAAAATTTCGCCTCTCTGCCATCAACTTCACCTGTCAATCATTTTTCCTCTCTCCCTACCATAATTTTCCGAGTACGGTAATCACCCCCACAAATTTTCGAACCTCTGTACTTTCTTCAAAATGTACCGAAAAAATTCGAAAAAAATATTTTTATATCCTGCTCGATGAGAGCTTTCGAATGATATCTCATTTGCCATATTTATATCCATTTTGAAAAAAATATTTTTTGGGCCTGAAATTTCAGCCAGAAAAAATCCCTGAAATTTTCAAAAAATCATATCTCGGCCGAAGTATACCTTTTTTGAAAATTTTAAAATCCCAAAATATGTAGAAAAATCTGATTAATTTAGGAAAAATACATTCGATCCGAACAGCAGGCAAAAATCCCGAAAAAATTTAGAAAAACCGAAAATTTTTGGGTTTTTCGAAATTCGACCCCTACACCTCCAATTTCGAATTTTTCCGAAATTTTTTCGGCTCTAAAAATTTCTAATTTTTAGTACTATTTTATAAAGGAAAACCCATCCAATTCTCTTAATCCCAAAAAAAGTTATGATCACCTAAAAAATCCCAAAAATCCCCCAAAAGGGGTACCCCTTCGGAAATAGGGGGTGGGACAAAATTTTGGAATTTTGACCCATAAAACGTCCCATATGGTACTTTGACATGCGCTGAGTCCAAATCCGGTGTCAGAAAAATTTTAAAAAATTCCCCCGGGACGTTAGAGTCAAAAAAAAGTTTCGCGACATTTGCGAACATTGGCCATAACTTTTTGAGACTCAACCGGACCCCCGACATATTATACCTTTTTCGGACCGTCAGGTGACGCTCTATAACATAGGATATCGAAAACGGGTTTCAATTCACTTTTGAGAATTGGAGCCACCCTTCCCAATTTTACATGGGGGCACTTTGAAACTTTGGGCTACTGTAACTTGGTCAAAAGTATTCCGAAAAATTTAAACTAAATTTTTCCAGACTCAGCTCGTCGAGAGCTTTCATTTGACATATCACACGTGATTTGTCGATAAGTTTCGTAAATTTCGAAATTTGCGAAACTGGGATTTTGGGATTTTTGCGCAGGCATATCTACCCTTCAAGTTGGGATTTAGACTTCGGGTTTTTTCCTACATATATCAGCTTATTCCAACTTGCGTGCCTCCCGTTGGAAGTTTTTTGATATCTCCCCCCAGTCCCGAGATACCCCCGGTACCTATTCAATATAGGTACCAGGGGGTAATTATTTCTTAACTTTCGTATTTTTCCCAAATGCCCCATCAAATAGAACCCTTAAATGCAAAAGTTTCAGACCCCTAACTCAATTCGTTAAAGAGTTAGAATTTTTCAGCCTGGGGGCATAACCATTTGGGAAGGCATAAGTACCCTTCAGGTCCGAATTTCGACTTCGAGTTTTTTGCATTCGAACTCTACTAATAGCCGTACATCATCCTCCCAGCAGACGTTTTTCGCTATAACCCCCCGTTAAAAAGATAGCCCCGGCGCTTAAGCGATTTAGGTACCAGGGGGCAATTATTTCGACTTCTCGATAATTTTCCTGGATGCCCCGGACCAAACTACCCCCCGAATGTCAAACTCCCGAAACCGTGCCGGCCTTCGGCCGGCCGTTATTTTTTTTCTTAGAAAAAACACTCCCTGAATTATAGGTATATAGTAAGCTATGGGTTACGTATGCGATGGCGGTAACTTACGTATGCAATTCCTATTAGGATACTTTAGGTTTAATAGCATTCTGCCCGTTGGAAAGCCTAACGGCTTTGGGGCGCGCTTCGCGCGCTGCTAGAATTTTTGAATGCCTGGAAAGAAAGATTACGCTTTGCCTTTCATTGCTTCGGCCTTCGGCCCTCGCCCTCCATCGCTTCGGCCTTCCCCGGTCTCGTCTTCTACTTAGGCACTCGTCTTCCCCTCGACCGGCGGGCCTTCGGCCTCGGAGGATCTATGCTCTACCTTTACAATTGCTCTGCCTTTTAGATGGAATGAAAGCTCGGGCCTTCGGCCCTCGCCAACCGGCGGGCCTTCGGCCCGCCGGTTCCTTGGCCTTCGGCCTCGGAGAATCTATGCTCTACCTTTGACAATTGCTCTGCCTTTTAGATGTAATGAAAGCTCGGGCCTTCGGCCATCGCCAACCGGCGGGCCTTCGGCCCGCCGGTTCCTCGGCCTTCGGCCTCGGAGGATCTATGCTTTGCCTTTGACAATTGCTCTGACTTTTAGATGTAATGAAAGCTCGGGCCTTCGGCCCTCGCCAACCGGCGGGCCTTCGGCCCGCCGGTTCCTCGGCCTTCGGCCTCGGAGGATTTATGCTCTGCCTTTGACTATTGCTCTGCCTTTTAGATGTAATGAAAGCTCGGGCCTTCGGCCCTCGCCTACTCCTCGGCCTTCGGCCTCGGAGGATCTATGCTCTGCTTTTGACTATTGCTCTGCCTTTTAGATGTAATGAAAGCTCGGGCCTTCGGCCCTCGCCAACTCGTCTTCCCCCCATTGGGACTCATCCTTCCACTTAGAGTCACTTCGGGCCTTCGGCCCTCGTCTTCCTTTCGATTGGGCTCCTCCTCCCACTTAGAGTCACTTGCTCTGCCTTTTAGATGTAATGAAAGCTCGGGCCTTCGGCCCTCGCCAACCTGCGGGCCTTCGGCCCGCCAACTCCTCGGCCTTCGGCCTCGGAGGATCGATGCTCTGCCTTTAACAATTGCTCTGCCTTTTAGATGTAATGAAAGCTCGGGCCTTCGGCCCTCGCCAAACTCCTCGGCCCCGTTGGGACTCATCCTTTCAATTAGAGTCACTTCGGGCCTTCGGCCCTCGTCTTTCTCTCGATTGGACTCACCCTTCCACTCGATTGGACTCACCCTTCGGCTCCCGGCCTTCGGCCGGGAGCTTTAATTTTTTCTAAAAAAATCCCTTTAGAAAAATTCGAGGGAACAAAATTTTCGGATTTTGACCCATAAAACGTCCCATATGGTACTCTGACATGCGCTGAGTCCAAATCCGGTGTAAGAAAAATTTTAAAAAATTCCCCCTGGACGTTAGAGTCAAAAAAAGTTTCGCGACATTTGCGAACATTGGCCATAACTTTTTCAGACTCAAGTGGACCCCCGACATATTATACCTTTTTCGGACCGCCAGGGGACGCTCTTTAAGATAGGATATCGAAAACGCGTTTTAATTCACTTTTAAGAATTGGAGCCACCGTTCCCAATTTTACATAAAAATATCTTGAAACTTTGGGCTACTGTAACTTGGTCCAAGGTGGTCCGAAAAATTTAAACTAAATTTATCCAGACTCAGCTCTTCGAGAGCTTTCATTTGACATATCACACGTGAATTGTCGATTAGTTTCGTAAATTTCGAAATTTGCGAAACTGGGATTTTGGGATATTTGCGCAGGCATAAGTACCCTTCAAATCCGAATTTTGACTTCGGGTTTTTTGCTATTAATATCCTCTAATACCAACGTGCGTGCCTCCCAGCAGAAGTTTTTCAATATCTTCCCCCACTCCCGAGATACCCCGGGTACCTATACAATTTAGGTACCATGGGGCAATTATTTTGAAACTTCCTTATTTTTCCCAAATGCCCCATCATATGGGACAACGAATGCAAAAAGATTCAGACCCCTAACTCAATCCGGTAAAGGGTTAGAATTTTTCAGCCTTGGGGCAAAATTTTTGCGCAGGCATAAGTACCCTCCAAGTTGGGATTTCGACTTCGAGTTTTTTCCCGTTTATATCCTCATATCCCCACTTGCGTGCCTCCCAGCAGAAGTTTTTCGCTATCCCCAACCGTTCCGGAGATAGCCCCGGCACCTAAGCGATTTAGGTACCATGGGGTAATTATTTTGACTTTTCGATAATTTTCCCAAATAGCCCGTCAAAAGTACCCCCCAAGATGTACAACTTTCAGAAGGCTCCCGGCCTTCGGCCGGGAGCTTTAATTTTTTCTAAAAAAATCCCTTTAGAAAAATTCGAGGGAACAAAATTTTCGGATTTTGACCCATAAAACGTCCCATATGGTACTCTGACATGCGCTGAGTCCAAATCCGGTGTAAGAAAAATTTTAAAAAATTCCCCCTGGACGTTAGAGTCAAAAAAAGTTTCGCGACATTTGCGAACATTGGCCATAACTTTTTCAGACTCAAGTGGACCCCCGACATATTATACCTTTTTCGGACCGCCAGGGGACGCTCTTTAAGATAGGATATCGAAAACGCGTTTTAATTCACTTTTAAGAATTGGAGCCACCGTTCCCAATTTTACATAAAAATATCTTGAAACTTTGGGCTACTGTAACTTGGTCCAAGGTGGTCCGAAAAATTTAAACTAAATTTATCCAGACTCAGCTCTTCGAGAGCTTTCATTTGACATATCACACGTGAATTGTCGATTAGTTTCGTAAATTTCGAAATTTGCGAAACTGGGATTTTGGGATATTTGCGCAGGCATAAGTACCCTTCAAATCCGAATTTTGACTTCGGGTTTTTTGCTATTAATATCCTCTAATACCAACGTGCGTGCCTCCCAGCAGAAGTTTTTCAATATCTTCCCCCACTCCCGAGATACCCCGGGTACCTATACAATTTAGGTACCATGGGGCAATTATTTTGAAACTTCCTTATTTTTCCCAAATGCCCCATCATATGGGACAACGAATGCAAAAAGATTCAGACCCCTAACTCAATCCGGTAAAGGGTTAGAATTTTTCAGCCTGGGGGCAAAATTTTTGCGCAGGCATAAGTACCCTCCAAGTTGGGATTTCGACTTCGAGTTTTTTCCCGTTTATATCCTCATATCCCCACTTGCGTGCCTCCCAGCAGAAGTTTTTCGCTATCCCCAACCGTTCCGGAGATAGCCCCGGCACCTAAGCGATTTAGGTACCATGGGGTAATTATTTTGACTTTTCGATAATTTTCCCAAATAGCCCGTCAAAAGTACCCCCCAAGATGTACAACTTTCAGAAGGCTCCCGGCCTTCGGCCGGGAGCTTTAATTTTTTCTAAAAAAATCCCTTTAGAAAAATTCGAGGGAACAAAATTTTCGGATTTTGACCCATAAAACGTCCCATATGGTACTCTGACATGCGCTGAGTCCAAATCCGGTGTAAGAAAAATTTTAAAAAATTCCCCCTGGACGTTAGAGTCAAAAAAAGTTTCGCGACATTTGCGAACATTGGCCATAACTTTTTCAGACTCAAGTGGACCCCCGACATATTATACCTTTTTCGGACCGCCAGGGGACGCTCTTTAAGATAGGATATCGAAAACGCGTTTTAATTCACTTTTAAGAATTGGAGCCACCGTTCCCAATTTTACATAAAAATATCTTGAAACTTTGGGCTACTGTAACTTGGTCCAAGGTGGTCCGAAAAATTTAAACTAAATTTATCCAGACTCAGCTCTTCGAGAGCTTTCATTTGACATATCACACGTGAATTGTCGATTAGTTTCGTAAATTTCGAAATTTGCGAAACTGGGATTTTGGGATATTTGCGCAGGCATAAGTACCCTTCAAATCCGAATTTTGACTTCGGGTTTTTTGCTATTAATATCCTCTAATACCAACGTGCGTGCCTCCCAGCAGAAGTTTTTCAATATCTTCCCCCACTCCCGAGATACCCCGGGTACCTATACAATTTAGGTACCATGGGGCAATTATTTTGAAACTTCCTTATTTTTCCCAAATGCCCCATCATATGGGACAACGAATGCAAAAAGATTCAGACCCCTAACTCAATCCGGTAAAGGGTTAGAATTTTTCAGCCTGGGGGCAAAATTTTTGCGCAGGCATAAGTACCCTCCAAGTTGGGATTTCGACTTCGAGTTTTTTCCCGTTTATATCCTCATATCCCCACTTGCGTGCCTCCCAGCAGAAGTTTTTCGCTATCCCCAACCGTTCCGGAGATAGCCCCGGCACCTAAGCGATTTAGGTACCATGGGGTAATTATTTTGACTTTTCGATAATTTTCCCAAATAGCCCGTCAAAAGTACCCCCCAAGATGTACAACTTTCAGAAGGCTCCCGGCCTTCGGCCGGGAGCTTTAATTTTTTCTAAAAAAATACTCTCATAATTATAGGTATATAGTAACTAGTTGTGCCCATTGGGGTGCAGGCGGTAAGTTACGTATGCAAATCTTTGATGTTTGCAATGGCGGTAAAATTTTGTTGTGCCCGTTGGAAAGCCTATCGGCTTTGGGGCGCGCTTCGCGCGCTGCTAGAATGTGTGGATGCGTGGAATATGTTTGATTACCTCTGCCTTTTCATTGCTTCGGGCCTTCGGCCCTCGCCGGTAAAGTTTTGCCCTGCCTTTTCATTGCTTCGGGCCTTCGACCCTCGCCGTTAAAGTTTTGCCCTGCCTTTTCATTGTTTCGGGCCTTCGGCCCTCGCCTTAAGGTTTTGCCCTGCCTTTTCATTGCTTCGGGCCTTCGGCCCTCGCCGGTAAAGTTTTGCCCTGCCTTTTCATTGCTTCGGGCCTTCGACCCTCGCCGTTAAAGTTTTGCCCTGCCTTTTCATTGTTTCGGGCCTTCGGCCCTCGCCTTAAGGTTTTGCCCTGCCTTTTCATTGCTTCGGGCCTTCGGCCCTCGCCGGTAAATTTTGCCCTGCCTTTTCATTGCTTGCTCTGCCTTTTAGATGGGTTGACAGAACGGGACTCCTCGGCCTCGGTAGAACTTGCTTTGTTTTTAAACGGATACTGTGTTTTTTAGTGGATGTGGTGGGTTGACCCGAGGCGTTTGGTTGGCCTTCGGCCCCCCAAACCCTTTGTTTAGACGAATACTGTGCCTTTTAGTGGCTGTGGTGGGTTGACCCGAGGCGTTTGGGGGGCCTTCGGCCCCCCAAACCCTTTGTTTAGACGAATACTGTGCCTTTTAGTGGCTGTGGTGGGTTGACCCGAGGCGTTTGGGGGGCCTTCGGCCCCCCAAACCCTTTGTTTAGACGAATACTATGCCTTTTAGTGGTTGTGGTGGGTTGACCCGAGGCGTTTGGGGGGCCTTCGGCCCCCCAAACCCTTTGTTTAGACGAATACTGTGCCTTTTAGTGGCTGTGGTGGGTTGACCATAGGCGTTTGGGGGGCCTTCGGCCCCCCAAACCCCTTGTTTAGACGACCCGAGGCGTTTGGGGGGCCTTCGGCCCCCCAAACCCTTTGTTTAGACGAATACTATGCCTTTTAGTGGTTATGGTGGGTTGACCATAGGCGTTTGGGGGGCCTTCGGCCCCCCAAACCCCTTGTTTAGACGAATACTGTGCCTTTTAGTGGCTGTGGTGGGTTGACCCGAGGCGTTTGGGGGGCCTTCGGCCCCCCAAACCCTTTGTTTAGACGAATAGGGGGGCCTTCGGCCCCCCTCAAACGCCAATTTTCCGAAAATCCTCCCCAAACGAAAACTCTGACCGCCATAACAATGTCAGACTCAAGTGACCCGTTAAAATTTTAAATTTTTAGATGGATTTCAGGATGCTCTACATTATAACGTAAGTCTTTTTAACTTATTCCCCCTCCTTAGGTACCCCACCAGCTAAATTAACCCCCAGACTCAAAAATTATAAAACGGCTTAACTCACTCAGACTCTTATGGAACCCCCAAAAAGTATATATTTTTCGGAGCCCCAGGAGATGCTCTATAACATTACCGGACCATATTTGATTAATTGCCCCTCCTTTGGTACCCCACCGGCCTAAGTGCAACCCCAGACTCAAACTTTTGACCTATCATAACTTTGGACAAAAGGGTCAGAAATTTTTAGAAAAAATATTTTTATGCTCAGCTCGATGAGAGCTTTCGATTGATATAACATTTGGCCCATCTATGGCCATTTTGGAAAAATAATTTTTTTGGACGAAAATTTAGGCCAAAAAAATAGCCGAATTTTTAAAAAATTCATAACTTTTTCAAAAGTAACCTTTTTGAAGAAATTTAAAATCTTATTCTATGCAGAAAATTCTGCTCTATCCAGGAAAAATAGCTATGCCCCGAACCGCCGGCAAAAAACCCGAAATTTTTTCGAAAAACCGAAAAATTTTCGGGTTTTCGAAATTCGACCCTACACCCCAAATTTCGACTTTTTTCGAAATTTTTTCAGCTTAAAAAATTTCTAATTTTTTATACTATTTTATGAACGAAACCCCACCTCAATCCGAAAATCCAAAAAAAAGTTATGGCCACCAAAAAAATCTCGAAAATCCCCCAAAAGGGAAATAGGGGGTGGGACAAAATTTTCGAATTTTGACCCAAAAAATGGCCTATATGGTACTCTCGCACCTGCTGAGTACGAATCCGGCGTCAGAAAAATTTAAAAAAAATTCCCCAGGACGTTAGAGTCTCAAAAAGTTTCGCGCCATTTCGCCACAATGGCTATAACTTTCTGAGACTCAAGTGTACCCCCAACATATTATACCTTTTTCTGACCGCCAGGGGACGCTCTTTCGAACTGGCTATCGAAATCGCGTTTCAATTCACAATACAAAAAGTCGACTTTTCGACTCTGACACTTTGACCCAAAACACCCCCAAAAGTTCACCCGAGACTCAAATGTCCAACTATTTATAACTTCCCCACACTCTACCCTCCAACATCACTCCCAGGCCCAAGAAACCCCAACTTCTCAAAAAAGAGTTATAACACTTTGAATTTTTCATCCGGCCGTTTCGGTGCCACACTCAAGTGCGGCACCAAAATGGCCATGCCCAAAAAATTTCTCATAGCCGTTTAACTATAAACCCCCAGGTCCCATCTTAATCCGCCCAGCCGTTCCCGAGATCTCGCACCTCCACATTTTGCCAACCTCCAATGGCACCACATTTTGCCAACATTTAAAAACGGTTAACACGGCACTTCGACATTTAGACTTCACCGAATTTCGAAATTTTTTTTTTATTTGATATCCACTAAATGTATCTCAGTGCCCTTTAGTTGGGACCTAAGCGCTCCGACTTTTAGTTCACGAGATAGCCACTTCAGGGGGGTCGTTTCGGCGCCAAGGGAAAGTCGTGGCGCCGAGTTCGTATTTTTCCTGAATGCGCCGTAAAAAGTTGCCCCACCGATGTCAGGCTTCGGGGGAGCGTCCGGCCTTCGGCCGGCCGATAATAGTTTTTAAAATGGAAATTTGTCTTTTTTATAGGTATAAGAGTAACTAGCTATGGGTTACGTATGCGATGGCGCGAATAGCATACTCTGGCGGTAAAATTTTGGGGTGCCCGTTGGAAAGCCTAACGGCTTTGGGGCGCGCTTCGCGCGCGGCTAGAAGTTTTATTGGCTTGGGTGATAAATTTGAAAATTCATAACTTTGTACAAAATGGTCAGAAATTTTTTCTGATAGTATTTTTAGACTCAGCTTTCTGAGAGCTTTCATTTGGTATATCATTTGGCCAACTTTTAAAATTTTTTTGAAAAGTTAAAGTTTTGGGCCAAAAATTTTGATCGATTTTTTCAAAAAATTTTTTGAAAAATCATAACTTTGTTAGTTGTAGGGATTTTGAAATAATTTAAAGTTTAGCATGTGTATAAAATCATGCTCTATTTATTAAAAATATAATACGGAACCACCAATGGTTGTACCCCTTTAAATTTGGAAAAAACCAAAAATTTTTGATTTTTCAAAAAATCGACCCTTAGACCCCCTAACCTTAAGTTTTTCTCTAATTTTTTAGTATTAAAAAATTTCTAATTTTTGACTCTATTTTTTAATTCAAAGTTTGTTTGAATAGGACAAAAACTCACAGAGTTATGGCCGATTAAAATTTTTCGGAATAATTTCATAAGGGGTTCCACTTTGAAAAATTTTGGGAAAATTTTTTTCGAGAAAATTTTGTAATTTTCTGCCATAATAGGTTTTAATAGACGGGGATAACGAATACGTTGTCCGTTTCTTGTTAAAAATTTTTTCCGCTAAGATAGAGGCCAAAAATTTTCACTCTTGGCCTGAAGTTGTGGAGACCCAAGATTTGTGCACTCATAACTTTGTACAAAATGGTCAGAAATTTTTTCTGTTAGTATTTTTAGACTCAGCTCACTGAGAGCTTTCATTTGATATATCATTTGCCCACCTTCAATAATTTTTTGAAATGTTAAAGTTTTGGCCCAAAAATTTTGGTCGATTTATTCAAAAATTTTTTTGAAAAATCATAACTTCATTTGTTGTAGGGATTTTAAAATAATTTAAAGTTTAGCATGGGTATAAAATCAGGCTCTATTTATTAAAAATATAAAACGAAACCACCAACGGTTGTACCCCTGTAAATTTGGAAAAAACCAAAAATTTTTGATTTTTCAAAAAATCTACCCTTAGACCCCCTACCCTTATGTTTTACAGAGATTTTTGTGTATTAAAAAATTTCTAATATTTTACGCTATTTAATAGTTTTGAGTTTGTTCGAATAGGACCATAACTCACAAAGTTATGGCAGATCAAAAATTTTCGGAAATATTTCATAAGGGGTACCCCTTTGAAAAATTTTTGGAATTTTTTTTTCGAGAAAATTTTCTAATTTTCGGCCATAATAGGTTTTAATAGACGGGGATAACGAATCCGTTGCCCGTTTATTTTTAAAAAATTTTTCCTCTAAGTTAGAGGCCAAAAATTCTCAGTCCTCCACAGATTATGTGGAGGAACATAAGATTTTTTCTGTTTTTAACCGTGCTCAGCCGTTTTTGGTTACAAAAACGCCCAGAGTACACCACGTGGAGGTGCACGGTGGTCAACAGCTAACCATATACTCCTCACTGGGTTATAAATGGGGAGGAATTATTAAGAAAAAGCCAATCTCAAGGGGAATTTACAATAATAAGAAGGGTTATACAATTAGACTTAGTCAAACTGAATACCACGGGCTACAACATTAGTAATAAGGGTGTTCCCATCATTATCCTTAGGTTTGTTGGGGGCAAAAACTCTTATGAAATTACTATTAGTGCATCGGGAGAGGGCTGTATAAAGCTGTCCGTGGGCAAAGGGTTCATCTGAGAAATCTATGCCCAACCTCTCGCATGTCTGGCCTTGGGCCTTTGTAATAGTCATGCAGAAGGCTGTTCGGACAGGGAATTGGAGGCGCACGAAGCTAACCCCGTCTTGTGGGTCCTGGTGTGTCATTCGGGTGCGGGAGAGCCCAACAGTTACCCCTTGGTTTACGCCGTAAATAGTTTCAGCTTCGATTAAATGATCACGAAGTGCAACTATTTTTAGGCGGGTACCGTTACACAAGCCTTTGCTTGTGTTCAGGTTAATAAGAAGGACAATAATCGAACCTACTTTGAGGTGTAAATGGTGGGCGGGAAGACCAGAGGGAGTTAGGTTATTAATATAAGAAACATCTTGTTGGGCGGCATAGGGGTCTAACGGGTCATCAGTGAGACATCTGTCTACTGAATAATAGTCTCGGGATTGACTATTGAAGGAGGCAAGGATAAGGTCATTATTAAAGTCTACGGATCTGTTAGTAGGGGCAAGCATTAATCTTGTAAGAAGTTGACTACTATTAATAGTAAACCCTTGATCAAAGACGAAAGATATTAACTCATCACGAGTCTCTACCATCATTGATTTAGGGAGGGCAATTTTTTCCCGGGAGGTATC